CCATGGGTCACATTGATAATGATAAGGCACGTGACAAGGAGCTCTCAGGCAGAGGCCACGCAGCTCCGTCATCATCTTCAACTTTATTCACACTCTTAATTGATCTTCTCACTCGAAGCTCTGCTTCAATCCCTTCCTTTACGGCTTCGTAATCCCCTCCTATCGACTGACCCCGTCTTCCCGGATCGGTCCGCCCGAAACACCCAACCCGCATACCCATCAGATGCCTACACAGCACCGGTCATGATCCCTCGGTGGCTGCTGCTCATAGTGAGCCTGCTGCTGGCATTGGCCTGTCAACCAGTAGTGGCGGAAGCACACAAACCCAAGGTCATCTCCCATAAACTAGACAGTGCGCCCGCCGACCTGTTCTACTTCCACGGCACCAACACGATCCTATACCGCGACATCAAGACCAGAACTGCCCATGTTTCCTTCGATGGCGGCGAAAAATGGGATAAGATCAAGGGTGAAGGTGATGCCATGGCAGGCAAGGCCGAGTTGATCTGGAAGCACCCGTACGACAAAAACCGTGCTTACATCCTCGGCCAGGGTGGAAAACACTGGATCACGACCGATCAGGCCAAGACTTGGACTTCCTTCAAGGTGGATGTCGCGCCTTTTGCGTCCATGCGGTCTTTCCCGCTGGAGTTCAATGGCTGGGATCCTAAGAAGGTTATCTTTATGGGCCTGGGTGATTGCTCTCTCCTTGGTTGTATGCCTGTGGCCTACTACACGGTCGATGACTTCAAAACTGTCAAGCCATTGCGGGAACCTGCGTTCCAATGTATGTGGGCTGCAAGCCGCCCGCAGTTCGCGTTGGATTTGGACGTGCCGGATTCGATGGGCAATCGCGTCATATGCGTGGTGCCGGCGTTGACAGGACACTTTGATCATAAGATCAGGGAAGTCTTGATCCATTCCGATAACTTCTTCCATGACGGTCCCGAGGGCACCGCATCGAAATTGAGCGATGGCCAACCACTGAGCGGTGCCAGTCTACAGATTCGCTCCGTCACTAAGTACATGGTCGCGCGTCTCCAATCTGCAGGCACCGCCGAGCAGGCTCTGTACATTAGCGATGACACGAATGTGTGGCACCGGGCCGAATTCGGCAAGCACCGCATCGAGGAGGATGCCTACACCCTGTTGGAAAGCACCAACTACAGCATTCAGATTGACGTGCAAACCACCTGGCACGATAACCGCATGGGCAGTCTTTGGTCTTCCAACTCGAATGGTACCTACTTCACGCAAAATATCGAGCATACAAATCAGGATCTGAACGGTCTGGTGGACTTTGAGAGAGTCACAGACATTCAGGGCATCACGATTGTCAACACTGTCAAGAACTGGGAGGAGGCCTCGAAATCCGACTCCAAGGAGAAGAAGCTTATTAGTAGTATCAGTTTTGACGATGCGAGAACTTTCCAGTCTCTCAAGGCTGATGGCGACGAGCTACACATCCACTCGATGACAACCTATGTCGCGCTGCGCGAGATTCCTATGCCTGATCATCGGATGTTTTCTAGCCCGGCACCTGGCTTGGTCATGGGTGTTGGTAACACCGGAGGCCATCTCAAGGAATACTCCGAGGGTGATCTCTATGTATCAGACACCGCGGGTCTCACCTGGCGGCACGCACTCAAGGGCCCGCACCGTTTCGAATTCGGTGACCAGGGAGGAGTCATCTTGGCGATTGCCGATGGCACTAAGACCAAGGAGGTCAAGTTCTCCATTGATCATGGTAAAGAGTGGGAGTCCTTCAAGCTGGATGATGAGGTCAGACCTCTGTATCTGACCACGACACCCGATTCGACCAGTCTGAAGTTCCTGCTGGTTGGAATCTCGGCCGATGACAAAATCATTATGTATTCCATTGATTTCGACAACCTCCACGAGCGCCAGTGTGGGTCTGGGGACCTCGAAAAGTGGACTGCCCGTCTGAATGAAAAGGGCGAAGCAGATTGCCTAATGGGCCACAAGCAGTTCTTCTACCGCCGCAAGGCTAACGCGGATTGCTTCATTAAGAAGGAATTCGCGATCACTGGCCCCGAATTCAAGCCGTGCAAGTGTACTGCGGAGGACTTTGAATGTGATTACAACTTCGTCCGTAGTGAAGACCGCAAAGAGTGTGTCCCGGCTGTCTCCTTGACCCCCCCGGCTGGCAAGTGCAAGGATCCTGGCGACAAGTACATGGGTCCTTCAGGGTGGCGACTCATCCCCGGCAACGAATGCATTCGCGAGGGTGGCGAGGATCTCGAGCGCCAGGTTGAGCGTTCTTGCTCGAACATCACTGCCCCGATTGTCGCCGATGGCAAGCCTCGTGCTGGAAAGCCGCATGTTATTGCTGCCAAGGAGACCGTCTACTTCTACCTCGAACGACAAGCCAGTAACAGCGGAGATGATGAGACCCTCATGATGCTCACGGATAAATACGAGCTTTATAAATCACACGACCACGGCCGGACCTGGGAGAAGGCTATCAAGGACCATGACGTGAAAGTACTGGAGATGATTCAGCATCCCTACTTCAGTGATGCTGCCTTCTTCCTCACCGATAAGAAGAAGATTTACTATACCATTAACCATGGGAAATCTTTCCACTCTTTCGACGCACCCTCGACGCCAACAAAGGAGCCTCTCATCCCTCTCAGATTTAACGAGCTGTACCAGGACACACTTATCTGGATTGGCAACGAGAGCTGCGAGGGTAAGAACTGTCGCTCGGAGGCATACATTACCGACAAACGGGGTGCTAGTTGGGATCCGATGCTTATTGGCGTTGGTAAATGTGACTTTGCAGCCCAGCAGGATCGGGAGAACAGCTCGAAGCTCATTCTCTGTGAACAATATGAGAAAGAAGAAACAGCCAACAACCGGCAGCTGGTGATCAGTGATGATAATTTCTCTACGAAGGAAACCATCTTTACCAATATCGCCCATTACGGAACGAAGAACAAGTTCATTGTCACGGCTTGGTACGGCGGAAATCAGAATACGTATCTGAATGCCAGTGTCAGTGTGGACGGCCGCACATTTGCCGATGCCCATTTCCCCTTCAACATTAACGTACCCTCATACACCATCCTCCCCAGTTCCCCGCACGCACTCTTCCTGATCGTGGAGGTTTTCAAGGCAGAGGGGCGTAGCTTCGGATCCTTGGTCAAAAGCAACAGCAACGGTACCTACTTTGTTTCCAGTCTCGAGGCTGTCAACGTCAATGACAATGGTAATGCCGACTTTGAAAAGATGGAGGGCTTGGAGGGCGTGCTTCTTGCCAATGTCGTGGCCAACAAGGACGAGGTGAAGGGTAAGGGAGCAGCAGGCAAGAAGGTGCGGTCTCTCATCACCCACAACGACGGTGGTCAGTGGATGCTACTGTCTCCTCCTTCTCAGGATGTCGATGGCAAGAAGTTTGGTTGTTCCGTCACAGAGGGCAAGGGTACCGAGAAGTGTGCGCTTCATCTCCACCTCTACACAGAGCGTCGCGACGACCGCGATACTTTGGATTCCGGTTCTGCGATCGGCCTGATGCTCGCTCAAGGCAACGTCGGGGAGTATCTTGGCAAGAAGGAAGAATCCGACACATTCCTCACCAGGGACGGCGGTATTTCCTGGACTCAAGTTAAGAAGGGTCGGTACCAGTGGGAATACGGTGCCGCCGGGTCTGTGATTGTTCTTGTTAAAGAACAGCAGGCCACCAAGGTCGTGCACTACACCCTGGATGAGGGCGCCACCTGGAACGAGTTCCAATTCTCGGATGTCGACATGGTAATTGACGATATCTCAACCGTGCCCTCTGACACCTCGAAGAACTTCTTGCTCTGGGGCACAGACCCTAAAACCTCCGGCAAACGCGTGTCTATCCCTCTTGATTTCAGCCCCATTTGGAGCAGAGACTGCAAAGACGACGAGAATGATTTTGAAATCTGGACTCCTAGCCATCCTCTCCAGGAAGAGAACTGTCTTTTCGGTCATGTCGAGCAGTACCACCGCAAGAAACCCACAGCAGAGTGCTGGAACCCCTGGCGCACGCCGCATATTCACAGCATTGGCCGGAACTGCACTTGCACCCGCGCTGATTTCGAATGTGACTACAACTATGAGATTCAAAGTGACGGTAGCTGCGGTCTGGTTCCAGGTCTCCCCAAGCCAGACCACAGCGCCCAGTGCAAGAAAGACTCAGAGATGGTCGAGTACTGGGAGCCAACCGGATACCGCCGCATCCCACAGACAACCTGCGAAGGCGGACTCCTTCTAGACCAAGACGTTTCCCACCCCTGCCCGAACAAGGAAGAAGAATACAACAAGAAACACGGCATCAGCGGTGTCGGTCTCTTCTTCGCGATCGTCACCCCGATTGCAGTCGCCGCCGGTGTCGGGTACTACGTGTACACGCACTGGGATGGCAAATTCGGGCAGATCCGTCTGGGCGAAGGCGGCGGCAGCTCGAACTGGCTTTCCAGGGATTCCGTACTGGTCGCAGTGCCAGTGGCAATAATCGCCGGTGTTGTTGCGGTCGCCCAGTCCCTGCCTTTATTGATTATGAGTCTTTGGCGCAGCTCGACTGGCTGGTTCCGTTCCCGTGGTCGGGGATACCAGCGGCCTTATGCGACGCGTGGCTCGTTCGCTGCGCGTCGGGGTGATTATACTCATGTCGTAGACGATGAGGATGAACTACTTGGCGCTGATGACTTCGATGAAGAGGAGGAGGCATGATCTATGCAGCGTTTACGTCTAATATAGCTGTCGTCTGTGGACGAGAGCAGATTTGGGATGATATTTTGGGCAGATTTTGATGTGACATTATAAGCGTGCCGTGTCGGGTTTTTACTTGTTTTTCTTTCTTTCCTTTGGTTCATTTGTTGGTATGCACAACCTATAAGCTGCTTTGCTTTGGCTTGGACAGAGTTGGAAGATGTGTTTAGTTTCGGATTTGATCATGAATAGAGCTGCCCATTGCTTTGAACTAAATAGGCGCTACTGAGATACTTTACTCATTCTTGTGTGAGGTCGCTCGGTCCGAACGAGTCGGGTAGTAGCTGGAGTGTGTCAGTGGACATTGGAACATCCAGATAGTTGAAAGGTGCTTACCTCGGCCATGGTCATGATCTTGTACTTGCCTTCGCCGTCATACATGTAGACGGGGAATGAAGGCGTAGTGAACTCGCGGATACTGATTACAATCAGTCTAGTGCAATGAGGGATGATGGAAAGATACTCACAACTGTCTGCACATTCCACAGGGTGACGCAGGAGGAGTGATATCCGTCGCAACAGCAAGGGCCTTGAAGTCCTTGTGACCAGCCACCTAGTTGGAGTTAGTGTAACCACATAGCTATCGAGGCTAGGCAAAGGAGAAACATACAATGGCAGTTCCAAAAGCTACTCGCTCTGCGCAGGTACCGACAGGGTACGAAGCATTTTCGACATTAGCACCGGAGATAAATTCACCGGATGAAGTCAGAATGCATGCTCCGACGCGGAACTTGGAGTATGGGCCTGTTTTTGTTAGCTAATGCATCTCTGCGAGACGGAGAACATACAGTAGGCAGTTGCCTTGGCGTCAATGGCCTTGGTGGAGAGAATCTCCAGTTCTTGAGTTGTGAGGCTCATGATGTGTGTAGGAAGGGAGAAGAGTGGAGGGGAAGTTGGAGTTGGAGTTGAAGTTGACGTCTTTATCGGGGCTGATGGGCGGCGATAACCGCCGGACGTCATGTTTTGCTTGTTTTTCTTCATTTCTGTTGGTTTATATTATTTATTGGATTTATGAAGTCTATGGGTGCAAAGTCTAGAAGTAAGGTGATATCAACAATTTTACTGCAATGCATGGGAAGTGATATGTTCATACCGGTGCGCAGATCCTTTCCAATACCCAGATAGAGGGCATTTCGGTAGCCTGCCGTATCTGAACTATGAAGCATGGTATACTTCTCAACGGTACCTGCAAAGCCAAGTCCGATACTCATGCCGTATGTTATGATGGTACCGATCAACGAGCCCGCAATACCCTGCTTATCTTTGCCGACAGAGTTGCTAGCAATGATCTGAGCTGCAGTGAAGATGAAATTGGGAGAAAATGCCTGTAGCTACTATTGAATGATGCTACGGAAATACCACATGAAGAGTTCGATAAAGAGGGCATGGAATTGTCTTATCGAACAATTAGAGAGAGTAATGTTCTACCGATTGCTAGACCATCTTGAAATAACCAACCACTCACACTGTCACTCACAGAGGAACAGCCTTTCCCTGAAAATCAAGGAATCGTTCCTCCCGATCTGCGGTGTATTCACCAATAACATCGATGCTATTCTCATTAGAAATCCATAACACAAAGGGCTCAGATTGGACTTACACTCCAGTTGCGCTAGCATCGACAGTGATATTACCCATGGGGTTCATGTCGGTCTTGGGAAGACCCGGATGAATCAGGAGGACTGGAACACCCTTCGGGCGAAGCTCCAGATCGAGCTCAAAGGCAAGTCGCTCCACAGCAGTCTTGGAGTTCAAACAAGTTAGTTATCCAGGGTTAACCACAGGCTAAAATGGTGCATACCTTGGAAATGTCGTACGCAGCCGTCATATTCACCCCAGTTGTCCCAAAGATCAAGTTGTGCATCTCAAAATTCTCCTTGAAAGTGGTAATGGATCCAAAGCTACTCCCAATGAATGTGAGTACCTTTTTAGGATAAGTAGACCGCTCAACAAAAGGGAAGAACTCCATGGCGCTCGCGTAAGCACCAAACAAGTTGACCGTCATGTTCTCTTTCAGGCCATCCAGTCCGGCCGCGGTCAGGGGTCCAAGACCCTTGAGGACACCGGCACTGTAAATGACTTGGTCTAGAGTTGAGGTTGTTTGGGAGATAGTTTCCTTCAACAGATGTATGGAGGAAGCATCGGCGACGTCCACTTCAAGGATGTGGATGCGGCCTGGATGGTCCTTGTGCAGCTTTTGAAGACCAACAGCTGTTGCGGATGACCTGGCTGTTGCATAGATCACTGCACTGGGATATTTGGCCAGCTATAAAGCGGTCAGCAACAATCTTACAGTATATAAGAAATTCCTACACTTTTCTCAACCAGTTGGAGTCCAATGCCTCGGCTCGCGCCAATGATGAGGACTGTAGATGGAGCGGAAGCCATTGAGGTATAGAGTGGTGTGATGATACGAGATGAGCTTGAGAGTGATTCCTTGATTCTGTTTCCAATCCCTAGTGGGCTTTGAGTGAAATTTATATTCGTTTTACGCCACTTTACTCCCACGACGAACACGGCTGGATGTGATTAATAAACGAGAGAATGTGGTCTTCAAGATTCCATGCCAAATCAAGATCAATAATCGCTATTTAATCAGCAAGGAACTACCTGACTATATAATGTATGGATATGTAAGTGGTTACCTGTTGATTATTTGATCAAAGTCCGAATGAGTCAGCTGAGGAATTTACCTCGGGAGTTGAGTTGAACTAACATCACAAATACATTTTTCGCTTCGAGCAATAATCAACGGTAAATCTCTGTCCGCAATACTTCTCTTTGATAGACATGTGATTCATGGTGCCCCATATACACTGCAATTATCAACATCACGCCCCGGACTCATCCTTATATGGAGTTGCTCCCAGATGCTTCCAAACTGCAGCACTATCAAGCTCGATCTTCTGGTTCCGGAGTGCAATCGTCATCTCGGTGTGTCCATCGTTGAGATAGACGATACTCTTACCCTACTCCCGTCAGTTTGATTCAATTTGGCTATAACAAGAACTCACCAGCCCAAGTGTGAGCTTGGTTAAACCCTCCCACCATTTCTGTTGATAAATGACCTGTTGTTCACCACGGATAGCACGAAGTATATTTTGCGAGACTGTTTGTCCTTGCTCCATGGCAGATCGGCCATTCTTGATCGTTCCAACATTGATCAAGTCCCCCGCGGCGTAGATATTAGAAAACCTCTCATCATTCACCTGAAGGGTTGACCTAACATTGACATGACCAGACGGTGCAATCGCAGAGGATGCGAGGAAGTGGACGAGATCAGAATTGGGCTTCTGACCAATGCATTTAACCTGTATTCATCAGACTTAGGCCTGGGGTGGTTGATTCGAGAACTTACCAGACAGTCAAAGTGAACCGTTCTATCGCCCAGTTCAATATTTCCCGTCTCATCCCGGGGAAGAACAGGCCTCTCCCCCAGAACAAGGTCGATGCCAAGATCTTCAATGGCTTTCTTCGCCACATCGTGCATTTTAGACCCAAATCCATCATTCAACAGTGTTTCATGAGAATGAATCAGCGTCACATTCTTCTCCGGATATTGGGACTTCGCATCGGTGGCCAGTTCTACACCTGCAGCACCACCTCCGACAACAACAATATCCCGAGCCTCTTTGAATCTCCGCTGTTGATATTGCAACGCTTTCATCCCATCTTCTTTGCTCTCCCAATTAACCCGCGATGGAAGTCGAGCTGTTGATCCAGTTGCGAGGACAAGAAATTCATAATCAATCCAGTCACCGGATGAAACTTGAACCTTGCCATTCCTACCTTTGCTATCACCGCCAGGCTGGATCGTCGTAACAGAACCAGTGACCCATTGATACGAGCCAAGAGGCGCCTGGAGATACGGCCAGTATGGAATAAGGGCCTTGTGTTCGTATCCTTCCACCACACAGAATCGAGGCAATACCCAGGTTAACTGGAAGTGGCTGTTTTTCTCAATCACAACTACTCGGTATCCCGTTGGTAGAGAGTTGGCTAGACAGCGTGCGGCATGGTAGCCTGCAAAGGAAGCGCCAATAACGACGATGTTTCGTGGATTGGAGGTTGGTTTGTAGGTATGCCGGTGGATGAGAGAGGTGAGTTTGAGTCGAAGTTGGGAGACGGTCTTTTGGATGATTACCACGAAGAGTTTGCCGAATAGCAGGATGTAGCCAAGCATGGTGAACTAGCTGTTCTATGTTTTACATATTATAGATTAAGAGATATTGACATTCGAGTTTATATTTCATGTTGACTTTCCCCGGATACTCCGCGGATCGGAGTGGGCTGATCGGAGTATAGTTCGGACATTGACTGATTTGGCATTCGCCGATGTCTGAGATCGGATCTCAGATTGTATTGCTGCAGGTATTGGTACACCTTCTTCACTCTAGGGGAATGTCCTTAGTCTCGACCTGTGAATATCTACTATAATAGAAATAATTAGAATAGTGGCCGATGAACGCGTTGGTAGCTTCTTCATTCTTGTGCACGTCGTACTTGTGTTCGGCTTAGACCTCTGCGGTAAGATCCAAAAGAAAGATGATAAACACAGTGGTCAGCACCGATACCCGCAGACCATGAGTATTCGCCCCAATATCCAGATTCCCTAACACAAGTCTTCGGTCCGATTCGCTTATAGGTAGGCTCTGGCAAGTGTACAAAAGCCGTAGCAACGATGACACCCGTGCCAAAGTAATGCGCGAAGAGGTACACGTTCTGAGGAATTTTCCATGAGAGCATACGCTTGGCCATACCGGGAAGACTGTAAAAGCAGAGGAGACGAAGAAGATTACAAAGATAGAAGAGATGCGAGCCCCGAGACCGCCGTTGTAGTCATTATGGGAGATGGTGAGGTAGCAGAGGACATCTTCCTTGCTGATCATGTTGCGATTGATGTTGTCGGCATCGAACGTCATTCTGCCTGGCCTTTGTCTTGATCCAAAGAAGCATGAGAAGCCATGAAAGGCAAGTATCATTGACACATTTTATAAAAATGTCCCTGAGTACCTTGGGATTTGAGATGGACCTCAACCTTGTTACCTAGCTCATCCAGGAGCTAGACATCGGCTAAATTGCCATGGATATGGGCATACGTGTGCAGGGGGCCCATAGGGCTGAATCCTGTGGTGGTCGACGGGCAATATGACTTTAACAGCTCCGTGATTCGTCTCGGGTTGAAACTCCGAGTGGAGCGGATATTCTCCCAGGATTGACGCTGTTTACACTAGACCTCTAGTGTTGCGATGGGATGTTTCAGCTCAGGAGCTCATGCCAGCTTGTTAAGTATAGCCAGCAGCGCGATGTGGGAGAAGAGAAGCTCATATCAAAAGTTGTGCAAAGACTATCTCGGCCACACCACACCGGATCAGCAGCATTCCATGACCGGGTAGAAAGATGAAATTTAGCACTGGAGGAAAGAAGACCGTAGAATTTTATATCGAAATAGAAAGAGTTCAGCCTCGAGCTGACCATGACTAATCGGTGTTTCCCCGCAAGGTACCAACAACTCAAGACTTCCAACGTCAACATACTCTCGACCATGGCTCATCCAGGAGTGCAGGTCATCGACGGCCGTAAAACATTCATCCCGCTAGGTAAGTCCTTGACCCTAGCTCCAGAACCATCTCTCATAATCCAGAAAACAACCCCGATACCATCACGCATCTATGTAGAAACCTGGGCATATCTACTGCCCTGACATTTCACGATGTCCTCTCTACAGCTCCCGACATGCTATCTCATATCCCTCGGCCCGTGAGTGCCCTCATCCTGCTCGCCGACACACCCATCTACATAGCTACCCGCTCCGCCGTGGAACCCACCATCCCTCTCTATACAGGGAGCGGGCCGGACGAGCCAATCTTATGGATGAAACAGACGATTGGACATGCATGTGGCCTGATGGCGGTGCTACATGTGGTTTTGAATCTTGATTCTGGTAAACATGTGACTGGATCAGAGCTACATGCGCTAGTGAAGAAGGCAGTTGAGCTTGAACCAACGGAGAGGGCTGAGTTGCTATATCAATCCAAGTTCTTGGAGGAGGCGCATATGGATGCTGCGTCGCAGGGATGTTCGATTGTGCCATCGCCACGGGATGACTGTGGGTTTCATTTCGTGGCATTTGTGCAGAAGGATAGGAAGGTGTGGGAGCTGAATGGAGGTATGAATGGGCCGTTGTTGAGAGGGGAGTTGGAGGGTGATCTGCTCTCGGAAAAGGGTTTGGAAATGACGGTCAATGGCTTTTTACAGGCTGCTGAAAACGTGGATCATAGGGGTATCAGTATTGTTGCTGTGTCAGGATGAGCTCGGAGGATCAAGGAATGGAGCTCTATTGGCAGGATCTTTTGTGTACATATCAAATCATGACATAAAGTTTTTCATGCAGCAATCTCTTGAGCTGACACGCGTAGGTCAAAGTCTCAATTCTTCGGCCAAATTGATGGCTCCGACGCGGAAGCCAGGAACAGTGTTTTCCCTGCTTAATGATAGCGTGTTGGATTGGTGATTCTTGGTGACAATGTAAGGGAAGGTAATGGAAAGTGTAGTCAAGAATTGACTTGGAATATATTCGGGGTATAACGCGGTGCAAAAATCCGAAGTTTAAGTAATGGGAAATCCAAGAGGAAATCCGGGAACATGATCGTCCGGACGGAGAAAACACAAGTCTATATGCAAAAATCTCTAAGTGTTTCTCTTTTTCTTTCATCCAACGTATTGCCGTAATCCTTCATAGACAGAGAAAATAAAGGCGGAACTGGGCGCCGAGCGCGCGCAGGTGATCCCGCACCCGCGGTACATGCCCTTTAGCCCTTGCTGTCGCCACAACGCCTTGGTCACGCTCCAGAAGGTCTGTCGCTGGGCGCTGACGGGGAGTCGGGAGATATCCTCTGTCTGCATTCGAGACTTAATTGTGTCGGCAGGGTAGAAGAGGAAGTTGTAGCTGATGCCAGCCGTTGCGCCAGCGATCATTTGTTGGTAGACGGGGAGTGAGTCAGAGGCTGGTCGCGCCTGTGACTTGTTGTAATTGCGCAAAAGCGATGATACACCTTCGTATCCACCGAACCACGCCGCGCTGCCACCTGTCTCACGAATAAGTGTGCCCGTCTGGCCGCGCCAGAATCCCCTCAATCCTTCCTGGCGGAAAATGGTCGCGACCAGTGCCATGGGGCCAGACGGTTTAGCGGCCGACTCGGCAGGAACCTGCATCTTGCATTTCACCAACTCGATCGGAGTGAGTGCCAACGAGGTAATTGATCCCGAGAGCGCACCGCTCGCCACGAGGGCCGGGAACGGTAGGTGCTCTGCATTAGGATACACCGTGGCGCGCAGGGTATCCTGGATGAGTCGATAACTGAAGAAAAGACAGCTAGTCTCCACGGCGGCCCCGGTCATCGGGGCGCTGATCCCTCGGTAGAGTCCCCGGAAGCCATCGGTAGCGAACGATTGGCGGAAACAGTCCAGCGGGCCGGAGTATCGAAGAGGGAGATGTTCGGGTTGTGACTGTAATCGGACCTTGACGGTGTCGAAGGGGTATTCAATAAGTTTGCCTGCCATTCCTGCCGCCTGGGAATTCGTCAGTGTCTGTTCTCTCCTGCAGCCAAAGACTCCTTACCGATCCAAAGACGATGTCCTTCATGGCCTCCAGGCCCTGGTTGGGCGGGAGCGATGGCAGCTCCATCGGCCGCTCAGTAATGATCGCATGCTCCGTCGCCATCAAGTAATTTTAAGAGAAGAAAAGAGGGTTATCGGCAGGACATGGTAAGACGGGGGTGTAAAGAGGGATTAAAAGCGAAGTCGAGGGTAGTGGGGGGAGGGGCGGTGTGAGGGATTTGATGGGCCTACGAGGCTTGCCAAGCCACCAGCACAGGAAGCGAACAAGGAAAGAGAAGGAAGTTGGAGGGAAAAGAGAAGAAAAGCCCGTTGGAGAAAGTGAAAACGAGTGAAAGGTGGAGTCGAAGTGGCATTTTCTGTCTAGCGCCTCGTGCCAAGCCATTTTATCAGATCGAGATAATCAAGAAAAACTCGGATCCTCGAGACCTCTGCCGCTTCACGCTTCTTCCACTCGACACTCTCCCACGTACTTCTACCAAGTGCCATTGTTTCAAGAGGTCCCTAACCATGTCCACCGCAACAGAGACCCCGACCGTGCCCCCAACGGGCATGCGGAAAAACGGTCAGTGAAAAAAAATAATTAATGCCCAGTCCCCACTTCCCTGCTGTTCCTCATCTCGGCTGACCCGATCGGACTTATAGGCAAAAACTGGCATGGCACCAAGAAGGCATTCCGTCCTAATGCCGGTTTGACTTCATACGCTAAGCGTCAAGAGGCGCGCAAGCACCAGGACGCCGTCAAGGAGTTGGAGCGTGAGATGAAGGAGGAGCGTGAGGCCGAACGTCAGGTATGTGAACCTTATTGCTTCCCGTGCTGTCTCACCTCGGTCGTTTTGACTGTCTACATTCTGGTGGTCTCCATAATACTGCACTATCGCCGACCTCACCTTCCAAGAACGGTATCACTGACCGAGAATATCTGCCCAGGCCCGTATCCAACGCATCAAGGACCGCCGCGAGGCCAAGGAGGAGAAGCTCCGGTATGAGAAGATGGCAGAGAAGATGCACCACAAGAGGGTTGAGCGTCTCAAGCGCAGAGAGAAGCGCAACAAGCTGCTCAACTCGTGAGCGGCCAGGTTGTCGAGGTCCTTTTTTCCATATCGCCATACCCTACTTTGCATGTGTATATACATCGGCTCGGGACTTTTGGCGACAGACTCATGGCATGGGCTGATTACAGGCGTTCTGAGGGTTCTAGGTCACTATAATAGCGAGTCAAACGAACTTTTTTTCTCTGTTACATCTTGCTATACTTTATGTTTGATAGTAGAATTGAGTAGAACACATTAGTCGTAATTGCTACGCAGATTACAGTCGGAATTAGCCAATATTCATAAACATCAACATGAAGTGCAGTACGCTGCCTATCGTAGTTGACACGGTCAGACCAGAAACGGCTCGTTTCCAATTATCAACTTACAAAGAGAGATACACCAACACAATAGTGCGCTTATTGATCTTATAATTATCGATTTACCACGGCTTCCACTGCATGTGCTGATGACACCTGCAAATCGCATACAGCCATCGCCGGCGGAAACAAATCCAGTCTAGTCAGATTATTCCAGCAAAGCCGTCTAAAGCCCCCCTGAATCTTGAATCTTCGGAAGTAGAGCTTTGGGGGTATTGCACTCAACGGCAGCTGAGCTGGGTCCTGCTGATAATTGTACTTTGTATACTGCACAGGCAGGGATGACACCGCTCGTTCTGTAGATGCTACTAGTGGGTAACCTCTGATATCAACTGGATTATTGAAGATAACATTTTCTTGGGGATATGCCTGCTCGTACAATTGATGAATAGAACCCAGGTGCACTAGCCGACAAACCTGATCTTAAAGCTGTGTCTATGCGTTGTCTCCTAATTCCTAGTATTCATCTTCCAAGCGAGCGACTGTCTCGGGATCTTTGCCTATCTTGATGATCTGCTCGCGAGTGACAACATGTTTCAAGACCTTTCCATACTAGCCCAAGCTGCGTATTTGCTCACACTAGGCTCACGAGCAATCGAGATCTCTGGTGAAGCAAAAGCGTCCAGTTCAGCGTCGTTGTATATCTTGGGATTTCAATGTCATTTAGGGTTGTCGCTACAACATAAGACATCCTCGCCGGCTTCGAAAAGTAGTTGGATTAGGATATGGAGACTTACACTACCATGATACTGGCCTGAGAATGGCATTCTTCGCGTCTCCTGAGATCATAGTACTGAGGGTTAGAGAGATAGTAACGCTCAAAACAATCACATTCACAATTTGTCAAGCATATCCAGACCCTTAAGTGGGCGACATCTTACTATGGCACATATACCTTCTATTCACTCCACCAGCTCCACCAGTCTAGGAGAGACCAAAATCAAGAATAATCATTTTGCAGCACTATTCTATTCAGCATGATTGGAGGATGAGGGTGCATGGTCAGTAAGTTACCTAAGGGGTTAAAGAAAACTATAAAACGAGGCCAACGAGAGGATGGATTGAGGACATGATGAGAGGATGATAGGATAAATAGACACTACTATCTCCTCTTCAACCCTCTTAACTGTAGATGTCATGTAGTATGCGAAGAAGCCCTGCGGTGCTGGAGGTGGAAGATCTTATTTAAGCTGTGCCGCTGATCCTTGGCGTCATCGGTCAAGTTGACCACTCCACAACTCCGACAAGCTTCCCCAAGCTTTTCTTTCACGATGAGTCGCCATGGAACCTCCATACAAGAGCCCATCCTTTGCAAGCTCTCGAGCAACATCAGCCACATTCCCTCTCTCTAAGAGCTCTACCCGAAGCCAAGCGCAACCCAATGACCGACAATCCACCCCAGAGGAACTTTCCGCAGTCAACACACACGAAAGCAAAACCGACAGACAGTCCCGTCGCCCTAACCGCTATGGCTCAGAAGACCGTGGGGTCTCTCCAAAGGGCGAGGCATCACATACTTCGTCCTCCTCGAGACGAACTCGCCCATCCCAATCACCTCGGCAACTCGTAGAGCCCGCGGGATACGATGGCTCGAGGTCCCACCGCCATAAACATAGCAAATCGCGGGAACTACGGTTTCCTCGTCCGATGAGCCATTTGGCTTCATCAGCAAGTGCGAGAGGGCTATTGCCTACGTGGTCTGGTGGGAGGGATAAGGACCGTGATGGGGATGATGGGTTGTTGAGGCCGATTACAAGGGAGACCACGAGGTCTAGATGGGGGTCGGATTCGACAGGTCTGGATGGGAGTCGCAAAGGGAGTTTATTCGATCCGCCTGAGCAGGAGCGCTTGGGGCCGATACGACGGCAGGAGATTCAGTCGCCGGAGGATTTGGAGAGGGTCAAAAAGCGGAGAAAGCAGGGTGAAGAGTATGCAATATTTCTCTCTGCTGTGGGTGCTGTTTCAATGCATGATATATTAATTGTTACGCAGGTATCTACGATCTGCGCTGGCTTCTATTGGAACGTTGGCCACGGATGTTACGCGTCGGCTGGACTACACCTATTACAATCTACTTGAGAAAATCACAGCACTCAACTCGACCATCTCGTCTTTCCAGGAACTATCCGACTCCGCCTCGACGCTTCTCAACAATTTCGAACGTGAAACTGCCGGGTTGGACCAAGATATCCGAAAACAGATCAGCGACCTCAAAGGGTTTGAACTGCAGATTGGAAAGGCAGATGCGCTAAACCAGCGCATGAAAGCAGGCAGACAGCGAGTGGAAGAACTAGGCAAGAGACTTGAGACCGTACGACATGAAATAGATAGCTGGGAACAGCGCGAAACCGAGTGGCAAACACGCACCAGTCGTCGTTTGCGCATCTTCTGGGGCATTGCCACTAGTGCACTGCTGGTGCTTGTGCTCGCCCTCGTCCTCCAGACCTGGCCACCATTCCAGTCCCCCCACGCTGAATTGTCACGCCTGACAGCGTTGAACCAATCCTCTGTGCCACCCCAGTCCGATGCATGGGATTCAATCCTTGAACTAGATGGGAAAGGAAATGGGTCTGCTGCAGGGGCCTTGCCGTACCCGCCCAGCCTTGCCGATCGCCGCGAGAGCCTGGCAAAGGCTAGCCCTACTTCGACGGAGGACCGGTCGGGACCCGATGCTGTGCCTACAGAGCATGATCCACTGAGGGTGTTGGATGAATTATGAAAATGCCTGTCCTCTTGTCTCCCCGAGACAGACTTTTCTGTGAAACAGGAATCGGGGGCTTTGCAGTCCTTTTGCATGGGATTGAGTCTTGCATTTGTACTTTTAATTTATTTCTGTCATGATACCCAGTCTGCAATGGATTCGTTGTCGTAATTACGGCATGGCCGCTTCGCTCTTCTTCTTCTTCTTGTCCTCGATGAACTCGATGTTGGCCTCGGGAATCTTATTTCCGTGCACCTCGAGTAGCCAGTCGGAAAGGTCGTCACTGACATCTCCTTGGACGGTAATCTCCTCAATGCCTGCTGGCGACCGGGTCACCGAGGACCCAGTGGCAAACTTCTTGCCCAAATCCTTTGCAATCTTCTTGTTCTCCAGGCCAAACACCTCCAGACCGATGACCACCGTGACGTACTTGCGCTTGTTCCGTTCCACGCGCTTAATCAGGACCTTGGAGGCAGCCTTGCGCTCACTATCTCGTGCCTCGTTTGCCGCAGCTTTGGCTTCCTTCTTGGCGGCATCCTTGGCGGCACGCTCTTGCGCTGAGACAGACAGGGTAGAGAGGTTGGCGTTCAAAGCATCTAGTGGAGAGTCAGTTATCAGGTATGCCGCCTCATCTCGCGATTGACTAGCTGCATATCAGGAAGTACACAGCCCCTGGGAGCTCCATACCTTCGGAGTATAGCTTATCCCACAAGCCCGACTCGTTATCCTTGAGCCATTCTTCACACTTCTTGGCTGTACCCCCAAATTCACAGTACTATCCCCCGCGGGTTAGCACAGAAGCACAGAAGGATGTAGGTGGTCCCGGGTAGTAAGCTTTTTGCGGGCAGAAGCTATGACACGCACTAAAGCTGGGGGGGGGGTGATAAGGGGGGAGCGGGGAACGGGCTGGACCTTGACATCCAAGGAGAGGGACAAAACACGATCGTACCTCTGGGGGCAATGTGCAAACTATCGGAATAGATTCCGTCAGCGCTATTCTCCTCCAAGGTGGGTTCTGCGCCACGGGGGGTCCTCACCTCCACAGTAGACCACCTGTCTTGCGGGTTCTGATCCTGATTCCTCCATGATTTGAGAATGATCGTAGTCTAGACTTCTCAGCTGTTCAGAATCAACACATCGCGGGGCGGAGGGGCAGTTCTGCCAGCTAGGCCGCTTTGGGGAGTCACGTGGATCGATAATGGATCGGAGCGAGTTGATAGTGTAATGATCATCCTTCATCCTACATCCTACGCCGAGAACATATGACACCATTTCACCATTTCACCATTTTGATTTACATGGGTTCAAGTACAGTGGCAAATAACAGAATCCCTTTGTCACGACATCCTATCTCTCTGACAGCTCATCCTGCGATCCACTGGGCCCCAGGCCCAGTGGGAGTGAGAATGCAGGCGCTGAACCGTTAGACTGCATGTCGTGATATGATAGCGTCTATTGGTGCCCGGTTGAGGATCCGCAGGGCTGATAAGATAGCTCGGAGTAGTGTGGGCAGTAGTAGCCAGGCGCCAGGGGAAGAGGGGATATAGACTACGTCAGCTAGCTGTGTTGGTGATATACCCCTTGTGAAGTCGAGCAAGCCAAGTCTGATATCCTCGATATGAGCCAATAATGCATCGTCGTGGTGACAGACGTTAGGGGCCCGTGGGGGAGAGGAACTGGGGTCCGCAGTAGTGGGAGATAAATGTCTCCGAGGAACACGAAGTACAGTTTCAAGTTCCAGAGGGCCTGAACCCGATTGACGGTGACATGCGGCGAGGGCCAGTTCCCACTGGTCGATTGACATTAACAATGGGCGTCTGTTGAGGGTTTAGTTTGAGGCCAATCATGCATCCAAAGGTCCAATGCAAGCGCACAGACAAAGGCAATTCCTGTCCGACTCGTAAAAGAGCTTTTCTCTCTGTGTTGCCCTCCTATCTCTCTCTCGGCCGTCTGTGTGGTTCCGACAATGCATGCGCCACCACACTAACTTCCTATACTTGTAAACCTTGGAATAGACATGCAACCTTCCAATCAGCCCAATCCAGAATGATCTCGATCCAGCCTATCGTCCGGTCGACACACCTCCGTATTTCGCCTGGATAGCTCGGCTTTGATCCCCATCGGCCCGTCGATCGTGTTTCCGAGGTATGGTTGACCAACCGGATTCCCAGAGACAACTGCCATTATGCGTCATGACAGCATTCTAGATAAGGTAGCAGAGAAGAGAGAATAGAACACAGAAAACACAACCCGTGAACCACAAACCACAAACCACAAGCCACAGAACAGGGAATAGAGTGTCGAGGAAGGCAAAGAAAAGGTGCTCAGGCCTGCAGACTCTCGGTCCCTCAGATGTGTAGATCCACTCCCAGCCGTTATAGTTGACGACTTGCAGATGTGGAGAATTTGGTTGCACTAGATTTTCGTCCGGTCTAGCCTCATAATAATAGACAAAACATCCATGTAAGAGATCGAGTGGCGAGAATATCCCCCCTATATCAAGTTGTATGTTCGTTGCCTTTTCTCTCTCACCTGTGGCACTTTTCTCCGCTTCTCCACGTTCTGCCCCCATTCCCCGTTTCCTTGGTTCTCCCCTTCTGTCTTCTCTATCTTTCTCTCTTCTATTTCTCCCTTCTCTTTCTCTCTTCTCTTTCCTGTGGATCATCCCACCTGATCCCCAAGTCCCTATGATCTTCCTGGCTTGGTCTTGATCTACCCGCCTGACCCCCTTTGTCCTCATTACATCATACGGCCATGACTGCGCTGCTAGTCCCCCGCGAAAACCCTTCGCGTTTTTCCCCGGATCCTCGCCAATGTCCCACCGTGCAACGCTATTTCCTGGGAGATCAACTTGATAGCAAGTTACCCATGCAAGATGCTTATCGGGCTAGGGATAACTCCCTCCCGTCCACTTTATCCGCGCCTCCCTCTCCAACTTTCGTGCCCGTTTCTCAGCCACGCGCCTACCCCAACCTAAATAATTTGCCTTTGGAAGATGAACTTGTCCTTCCCTCTTACGACGAGCCTATGCGCAATGCTCTAGAGCCCGAAGATGAGAGTGACGCCTCAACGGAATCACACCCAGCCTGGGCGGCAGCCCCTGTTGTGGATGACACTTCTATCGAGGATGAGCCCTCGAGACATGTGGACTACCTGTCGCATGACTGGAAGGAAGAAGATATCTGGTCCTCGTGGCGCTATGTGACCAGCCGGAGGAATGACTACAGTAATGGAGTACGACTGGAGAATGCCTCGTGGAGGACATGGGCCAAATCCAAGCACAATCTAAAGACCGTCTCGCCGGAGAGCCTTAACTGGTAAGTGCCCACTCATCCCTTTCGTCTGATATCTCATGTTGACTCTCCAAACAGGCTAAAAGATTGTGATGTCACCTGGCTCTATGGCCCGTTGAAAAGTTCTGGCGAGCGTGCGACCCATTCTCCTCCTCCCAGTCGCCTGGACACCCCGAGCTCTTATTTAGATCGGAAACCGATCTTGAAAAAAAAGACCGCTTCGGAGGCCATCCTCCAGCGGTCCCTCTCCCAACATACGTTACTCCAGCATGCCGGAGCCATTCTAAAGGCCCAAGAAGCTGAGAATGGCTGGGCTCGTCCTCCCTTCCCGAGGTCCAATACGGATCTGGACCAGTTACATCACCGGACCGGCAGCTCAACTTTCTCCCTAGGCGGCACTCTCACGACGTCGTCATCCTCCGGGATGGCATCTCCGATTGAACGCCGCCATATTCACTTTAACAATGAAGTTGTGCAATGCATTGCGGTCGAAGCCAAGGGTTTCGACGAGTGGCCAGCGACCTTTGCCGATGAATCATCGGATGATGGCGTGGTCATGATGAGGCAGATCTCAAACAGGTCGCCCAGCACTCGCAGCACCCCTCGCAACAGTTTCAGCGAGAGTAAGACCATCGCTCCCCTACCTTCTACCACCCTCAAGTACCGGGGTGACCCTCCAGAGCCTCGTCCCCAAACGATACTAGGTTGTTGGTCCACCCCGGATGCTTCCACATTATCACCCTCCCCCTCTGTAGAAACCCTGCGGCCAGAACCTTCGGCGAACTTCCTTTTAGATGATGATGAAGATCCCAGTTTGGACTTTACGGGTAATTACCCTGATCGCGATCGCCCTTGGTTTGTCGAGGACGATGCTACTTCAGACCGTCCATTGCGGTTGACTGCCTCGGGCATGTTCATGCCTGAAGGTGAAAATGAAACGCCCAGCTCCAGCATCTTGGATCGAGTCGTGGACACAGTGAACACGGCACGAGACATTGCCCATGTGATCTGGAACGTGGGCTGGCGACGATGAACCAGCCCGTACATAATGAAAGGGAAAAAAGGAGGCACGAAGGTGTCCAAGCTGTATAGGTTCCCCGTGTACGGAATATAACGAAGTAATGTCATAATAAAACAGCCTGAGAATTTAATCTATATCATCTACACCCTATACTTTCTACAGAGTACTCTGCAATATAAACTATTCATCTAATAACGATTAACGTTAATAGGGCGTTCATGAAGTAGATCGTTCAATTGCCCCACAGCCCCTGATCTTTCTCCCGAATTTCATCTCCGCGTTTCTTCCCCCTACCCACGGCAAAAGTTGATCTTTAACTTTTGGCATGGAGAACGTCAATGTCACTGAATTGGTCGAGCGCCTGGGCAGCGACGAAGATGCCGTGCGCAAGATGGCCGTCTTCAAGCTCCAGGGCAACATTGGAGACCCATCCTTTGCGGACCTCTTCATTGCAGAGGGAGGTTTGGTCCGGTTACGCTATTTGACTCTCCATGCTACTGGAAATACTCTGGCTTACAGTTTGACGAGCTTCGCCAGACTGCTCGACGTGGATAAAGGGTGGGAATGTGTTGATCAGGAGTTGGTGGAACGGGTGAGCTCTCTTTGGGCACTGCAATGTCTTGCCTTGGGGTCTAGTCTCTTCTATCAGATGCTAATATGAGTCTCTTACAGATTGTCGAGCTGATTGTCACCCATCCCCTGGTCAATATTCTTCGAGGCGCCATGTCGATTCTCGTCTCCGTCGTCTCCCATCCCTACATCGGGAACCGTGCATCCCAGGTAGACCATTTTGGTTTCCGTGCCTTAAAACCCGCCATTGCCATATACCCGCAGTTCCTGGAAATGCTAGTGAGCCGACTTTCCTCCGCCGACCACGCTCTGTGCGCCAATGCGCTGCAATTGATCAACTCCCTCATGCGTGACTCGATCGCACACGACTCCGAAACAGAGTGGCCGAAGTTTATTCAGAAGCTGCAGGATTTGGGTGTGATCAGGGCTGTTTATGTACTCATGCAGGACTCTGCTCTTCAAGACCTGGCGCATCCGTTACTCGAATTCCAGTCGTTGACCAAAGTGCTGCTGCGGAAATGGCGAGACATTCCAGTCAATCAGGAGAAGCCCGAGCATCGCCGCGCACTGAAGGGGGTTCACCTGGCCAGCAACCCGCAGAAGCACCCCGACGAGGCTACTGAGAATGGCGACGACACACGACGCTCAAAACGACACCATCCGGAGAAGTGGAGGCGGCTTGGATTCGAGACGGAAAGCCCAGCTGTGGAGTTCCATGAGGTTGGTTTCCTAGGCATGATGGATCTGGCGGACTATGTGCGCAGCCATCAGGATGAATTTCAGAAAATGCTCTTGGAGCATTCTACAAAGCCGGCACGGCAACGGTGCCCGATCGCACGCGCATCTCTGGCTGTAACATCAATTTTATACGAGCATTTTGAGGTGGACAAGTCAGAGGTGGATGATACCAAGACATATCTCATTTCAGAATCCCGCTCGGGCTTTGATAGACTGTTTCAGCCATTGCTATTACACTGGACCCGGCTACATGTCGCTGGATTACAGGCCTTTTTCCGCTTGTGGAAGGCAACTGCCGCCGAAGTTGAGGATTTGGACAAACTCATCGAGCTCGTGCGCATCCTCATCGAATCCGTGGTGGGCGGAGCGTCTCGGGCCAAGGATGTACAGGACGTGGAAGAGGAGCTGGCCGATTTCGAATATAATCGTCTGCGCGGGCTACAGATGGAACTTCTCGAACTTACGTACGAGGATGCATGGGGTCAGCACTTGCGCCAGGTGCGCGAGGAACTCCACCACGAGGCCCTTCAGTTCGTCAAGGAGCAACGGATCCGGTGTCTGCTTCGAGGTGCCTGGTTCGCTATGGACTCTGGCTCCAAATCTGATGGAGCAGTGCAGAAGTCGACTGGGTCACATCAATTCGCTCAACTCTCTCACAACCGACGCTACTTACACTTCGGGGCATTTAAATCCATAGGCGACGGGGCTCCGGAGCTGGATACTTTGCCAGAGAAAAGTAAGAGCTGCCTATCCACAATAGTGATGTGTTTGATACTAACATCCCGGACAGTTGATCTCTCAATCGTGTCATCTGTTGTCTCCAACATCTCCACGGCACCAGACCATGCTTCTTCAGCCACAGTGAAGTCTGCACCCCGTCAACCTGCAACCAAGATCACTATTCACGGTTATGCTCCATCTACTTCTAGCGGCCAAGGCAAGGGGCCTGGCCACACCCGCTCGGCCAGCAGGACAACCCAAAAAGAGGTAGTCCTGCTCACGCTGCGGCCTTCATCACACAGCATTGCATCCGAGTGGCTGGATGGTCTATTGATGCTCCTCAACCAGCAACCCATTACGGCAGAGACCACCAAGCTGATTGATCTGGTCAGCAACTACGGGTTGAAAATCCGTCTACTTAACGTTCGCTTTGATGATGCGACCTTCGCAGGCGAGGCCCCTCAGGTACCTGCTCGAGATGGCTTGGATGAAGATTATTATTATGATGTATTTGGCGGCGCATAGCCTGAGCGGACTTTTTATATTTGGGGGATTTGGTTTCTGGGGGATCTGGTCAATATACCCATCATGGCTGGATGTGCACATTATTGTAAATCTGCAAATAATATATCAACTACAACTCTACTAAATCAATATGGGTATACTACAGTATATAAATAAGTACTAAATACTAAGTTACACTATAAACACTAGATGGATACATATTTATGTTGGGCTCCACGCTTGGCGTCATAAGCTTATCGCGTATTTCAACTTCTCCAGACCAACTCCCGGGTCATGGACAGTCGTCCCTCGAAAAGACGCCGATCCGACAAGGATGGAACTTCTGTATCAAGGTCTCGCTCTAGAAAATCCACAGTTGATATCAGTGAATCAACCTCTGAACCCGTCGCCCTGTCCTCTCGTCCAAAACCCGCCGAATCGTACATATCAACCCGTGTCCCTTCGTGCTCACCCTCTCCAATTAAGAAAACCAAGTCATCACCGAAGCCAGATTCAAAGTCCAAGTCCTTGCATACCTTTTTCCAACCAGCGACAGAAGGACAACGGTGGGCCCCCCCGCCCGAGAAGAAACAAGCCCTCCCAACGGTCACAGAAACAGTGGATGTCGATTTAATCGAAGACGACTATGATTCCTACGATGAGATATTTACGCAGCATTTGGCCAAAGAGCGGACGGGTCTGACGACTTGCGTGAGCTCCAAGACGCGTCCTCCTGCGCCTAAACCACCACCCAAACCGCGAAGAAAGACACAAGCGAAACGATTTATTCTACCTCCGGATGAAACGAATGGGGCAACAAAGAAACAGGCAAAGTCCCAGCCGGCTGGGGTACCTGACCGGCGACCATGGGCTCAACGATTCGCCCCAGCCAATCTAGGCGAGTTGGCTGTTCATAAGAAAAAGGTCTCCGATGTGCAACATTGGTTGGAAGACGCCTTTTCAGGGAGACGGCCTGAGGTGAGTGTCAAGCAATTGAGCATGGTTATATGCTTGTGGTTACGAACTGGTTCTAACATGAGCAGAGGTTACTCGTCCTGCGCGGTCCGGCAGGCAGTGGGAAAACCACCACTATAAATCTTCTTTCCGAATCACTTGGTTATGATATTATCGAATGGAAGAATCCCCCGGTTTTGGATTTTGGATCCCGGGACTATCAATCTGTGAGCGCTCACTTTGACGAATTTCTTGGACGTGGTGATAAGTTTGGAGGACTTGACCTCGACCGTACCGACAATTTCGATGCCCAGCAAGAGAGCTCTCGGGATCATCGAATTCTGCTTATTGAAGAGTTTCCAACGGTACTTACTCGGGGTTCCTCTCACATCACGGCTTTTCGAGCGTCTCTTCAGCGCTATTTGGCTGCCGCGGCGACTGATCATGCACTTGGCAAGGCTGGGTTGGCCCATCCGCCTATTGTTATCATTGTATCGGAAACGTTGCTGGGGTCTGCATCCTCAATCTCGGACAGCCTGACAGTTCATCGATTACTTGGGCCAGTCATCTATAATCACCCCGGGACGACTATTCTCGATTTTAATGCCATTGCGCCTACATTCATGCAAAAAGCTTTGCGATCTATTCTCGAAAGAGAATCGCACGATTCCAAACGTGTTCAACTTCCCGGCCCAAGGGTCGTCGACAAAATCTCCGAAATCGGAGATATTCGCAGTGCAATATCATCACTTGAATTCCTTTGTTTGAAGAGAGACGGCGCCGGTAAATGGGGTGGCAATGCGGCCAAAACGAAAAAGGCCAAAGCCGAAGTCGCTTTGACGGCGATGGAGCAAGAGTCTCTCAAGATGATTACGCAGAGAGAGGCCAGTTTGGGTATGTTCCATGCCGTTGGAAAGATAGTATACAACAAACGGATGGATCCCAGTCTCGTCGAGGATAATGGCGAGATCCTTCCGTCGCCGCCAGACTACTTGCGTCGGTACCACCGAGCCAAGGCCTCGCAGGTCTTGGTGAATGATCTGGTCGACGAAACCGGAACAGATATTCCAACCTTCATCAGCGCCCTTCATGAGAACTACCCACCGTCTTGTGATGGGGACGATTTTACAGATTATTTTAACGACTGCATCGAGGCACTATCCGACAGTGATATCCTGAGCGCCGAGCGCCGACTAGGAGGCGCGCGTGCAGGAGTCGGGACCGGAGCTACTGCGCTCAGTAGCGGTGTCGATGTACTACGACAGGAGGAAATGAGCTTCCAGGTTGCGGCGCGTGGCCTTCTTTTTGCGCTTCCATGCCCAGTGAAGAGGAAAGTCGGGTCCGGGGGGATCCGAAGCCGCGCGGGTGATGCCCACAAGATGTTTTACCCAGCATCTCTGCGTCTCTGGAGAGAGACTGAAGAAATCGACGGACTGATTGATTCTTGGACAAATCGATTACTCGACCCCTTCAGCCAGTCTTTGACGGATTCAAGCTCTGATCTGACGGGCGTCAAATCCTGGAAAACCCTCCAGATAGGAAAGTCGGTGGCAATCAGTTCAAGTGGTAAAGAAAAGCTCCCGAGTGTGATCACAATGATGCCTCGCCATGATCTTCTGCTGCATCAATTGCCCTACATGGCCATCATCCGGCGCCATGACCCGGACAGTTGGCAATTGGACAAGATCACCAGCATCCGGGCCAATGATAGCCTTCGCGAAGATCTCATGGATGATGTAGAGGAACCTTCTCGACAATGGCGGTTGAAGCAGCCCAGTAGCAATGCTTTTGGACCTCGGCTTCCCCAGGAAGAAGAGAAGTTGTTCCTCAGTGACGATGACATTGTGGATTAGGAGCTTGTGTATACTTCAATCTCAAATTTCAAGACATGTCTATGTAGATATTTGAGCATGTAGTGTGTAGTGTGTAGTTGTATGTGTAGCCATTAAAGTGCCGGGCGGTGCGCGCCGATGTTACTCCCAAGATCCACCGTCTTGTTGTCAACTTCCTCCTGTACATATAGCACATTCAGTCCAGGTACAACCCCTCGTTTTATTTCAAATATATCGTGCTGACAGTCAAACAGATAGAATGCTCAATGACAATGAGTCTCCTTTGAGACGAGGGCACAATGACTCCTACCTGATAACTCGATCCCGTGCTGGCTCTGTCAACACACCGAATACCACCATTGTCTCGCCAAGCGCGTCTCAGTCTCGGAAGCCCGAAGGCAAGTCGGATTATGGCCAATTGAAGAGAGATGTGCCCGGCCTAGCGGCTGCGGCTGCCCATGCGGCAGTCCCCAGTTGGACAACCATGATCTTAATGATCTCTCTCATCTTTGGTGGCTGTTGTGCAAATGTGAGTCTCTCCGGCTTTTGGTTTGGTCAAGGCTGATGGGTGGCTAGGTCTTTGCGCTGGAGGCAATTATCAAGTAAGTCAACGAGTCAACGAGTGAAGCCACTTGAGGCGTGCCAGCACTATACTGATGTTTGTCTTACAGAGAACAACCTACTGCCGGTGAGCAACGAGTTCTTCAGGGTTACAAAACGCTTCGTGCCATCTGACTCGATTCCCTCCGCACAGGTCCTTTGATCACCTTCGCCCAGTTCGTGATTTGCGCACTATTTACCCTTCCAAGCTTCCTTTCCTTCTCCGCCGGACCACAATCACTATTCCTTGTTCCTCGCGCGATCCCCTTGAAGTCGTGGGTGGCATATACAGCCTATTTTGTGACGGTAAACCTCTTGAACAACTGGGCATTCGCATACAAGATCTCTGTGCCGCTGCATATCATCCTGCGGTCTGCTGGCCCTGTAGCTTCCATGGTGACTGGTTATATCTACAATGGAAAACGCTATTCCCGAGGTCAGATCGCTTCGGTGGCCATGCTGAGCGTGGGCGTGGCAGCCGCAGCATTGGCCGATGCCCAGGCCAAAGGGATGTCAATCACAGTCGAGTCGCCTGATACCGACGTCGACATGATGACTACTGCGACAGGGTTCACCATCCTCGCTCTGGCAATGATTTTGTCCGCCTTCCAGGGAATCTACGCGGACCGCCTATATACCACTTACGGCAGAGACCATTGGAAGGAGGCTCTCTTCTACTCGCACACGCTCTCGCTACCTATATTCTTTACAAGCTACGCACAGCTGTTGTCTCAGTGGAGGGTGGTAGCTTCGTCACCATCTTTGCTGTCTCATCTCAACCGTGATATCTTGTTAGATCCGTCTGTCTCGAGGTTAACGAAGAGTACTGCATTCTCGGTGCTGGATCAAATCCAACACCACCCGTCCGTCCAGTCTATACTTACACAACTTCCCGTGCAAGTGGCATATTTGATTATGAATGCCCTGACGCAATACCTGTGTATTCGTGGTGTTCACCTTTTGTCCGCCAAGTCGTCATCATTGACAGTCACCATCTTTTTGAATATTCGCAAGCTGGTGTCGCTGCTCTTGTCAATCTATCTATTTGGAAACCATCTTGCTGGTGGTGTCTTGGCTGGAGCAGCTCTGGTGTTTGTTGGTGGTGGTCTGTATGGCTTCGAGGGTGCTCGTCTACGGAGTACGGCCAAGAAGAATCAATGATACACGGAGCTCTATATATGTATCAACCTTCAGGACCTAAACAAGAATATATATCTATGGCATCTTGTATCGCATACAAGGAAATTGCAATTTCCGCACGATCTTCACAAATTGGCTCACAGCTACGGGATATTAGACATTCTGATCATAACGGTTGGTCGAACCTCGAAAAAAGGTGAAGATATATCGATATCATGTGCAGGTCGCAATAATTGTACATAAATTGAGTTAAGAGCAACACAAATCTTCCACGCCATACGGCGGGTAACGCATCAAGCATGGCGCATAATAAGGATCTCCCGCGGGTTCCTCGAGCTTAGAGCAATAAAAAAAGAATCCATCTATAACACCTCACCCACGATCTTTGCGGCTTCTTTGTATGTCTCCAAGAGCCGCTCACACTTCTCTCGCTCGGCCTTAATACCATCGTCTTCATAAAGCAGCTCGCTGAAAAGATCCTCTTTATAAAGTTCGCTCACAAGTCTATTCTGCACCACATCCTTGCAGTGGTTCACCAGGAGATGCATGACAGCCTTGGGAACCTGGTCGGCAATGCTCTCGCGCACGATATTGAAGTAGGATGAAATGAGCCGACGGATAAGCTCAGTTTCGAGCATCTCGCGGTCGGTAAGTGCAGGCTCAGTATTCTCATTGGGCTGCAAAGAGAGATAAAATGTAAGTGAAGGGCACATGGAAAAAATTAACAGAGCTTATATTAACACTCACGAAAGCAGACACATCGCCACCATACTCGGGTGGTGCTGTGTAATCCTCGGTGGGCATAACGGAGGACCGTATTTCAGCACGGCGGATACTCTGGCTGATACTGGGTTCACTGGCATGGATTGCTTGCCGGTTGGAGTTCATTCCAGACGGCGGGGCCATGGCCGTGTTGTGAGTACCCTCCTTGCCGAAGAAATAGTTCAGGAAGGAATCGCGGGCAGTATTCGAGCCACCAAATGCAGCATGATTCGAATGAGCTCCATTCAGAGTTGCAGCGATGCCATGCTCGCCGTTGCGGCCGACGTGAGGGGACATGCTCCGTGAGCCCTTTGTGGACTGACTTCGGATGGGGAGGTTTTGTTTGGAATCGGCATGCTCCTCTTCATCGGGGTTGGCCGTGCCGTTGGCAGCCCCCAATTCCTTTTGGCGTCGTTTGTCGCGCTTCCTTTTTTCCTCCGCCATCAAGGCTTTACGTTCTTCATCCTGTTTGTTCTGCATGATTGAAGACATAGCAGCCGCAGCACCGAGGAAGTTCGGGTGATTGGTGTTGATGTAGGCCCTTTGGATTGAGATCAAAGATTCCACGTAGTTCGAGCAAGGTCCCAGACGCTCACGGAGCAGGTCAGACACGACCTCGATCAACTTTCCCTGAAGGCGAGGGAATCGTAGAAGTTCCTGGTTACCACAAGTGTGGCAAATCTTGATGAGCTCCTCATAGACCAGCTCAACACAGCGCTGACTGGGAGATTCAAGAAGTTTGATTTGGGGCTTGACCAGCAGATCAAAGGCCAATTCTGGGACAAACAAGCTGGGACGAGGGCCAGTCGAGTTGCGGATGGCGGTTCTGATATCGGAAACAGTCAAGTTATGGGTAGGATCAATGGTTTCTAAGGAGTTTCCAAAGACTGAGTTGAAAATGTAGTAGATCCTTGCTCCACCACAAAGCTCCTTGGTGGAAATCTCCGAGGAAGTTCCGTCGATGGAGGAAATGAATGAGGCAGCGAATCTAGTCATCTGCTGGAGAATCAGTGACCCACGGTGCTCCTCGCCGCTGAATTGCTTGTTTCCATAGCTGGCCAACTCCTGCTGTGTCTGGCCCATCAAAGTGTTGAGGCGAGCCTTGATGTCTGGCAACCGGTCCCGGATATGCGACATCAGGGTTGTGTTCAAAGTCTTGGCCAAGAAGTGTGTTCCGCACCGGTTAGCCATGTTGCGATATGCTGGGTGATGCCGGAAGAACTCTGATTCTGCCCGCAAGGCGTCGGAAAGTGGTTTACCAGACTGGATATCCTGCTGGGATCGATTCACCACACCAATAAAGCCAAGCTTCAAGGGATAGACACGCCCGGACAGGATGTCCATCGCGTTAGTTCCATGATCCATGAGATCCAGCTTTGACAGCACACCAATCGTCCTTCGGCCCATTGCATCTACCTGGCGAGCAAGTTTCAGCGCTTCGGAATTAACCAGGTCGACATTGGCTGGTGAGACCGCAAGAATTATACTGTTGGGCTTGGCGATGTACTCCAGAATCAAGGTTCGCGTCTGTTTTTCGATATCGGAGGGTTGGTCACCAATTGGTACCTTGGTCAATCCGGGCAGATCGACCAGGGTCAGGTTGAGCACATGAGGAGAGAAGATCTTGAGGTTGATTGGTTGTCTGTTGATGCCCTTGTTGCTTCCTGCAATTCTCGCCGTTTCGGCCTCGATCTCTTGCTTCACTTGCGCAAAGTCATCAAACTTGCGTCCGGGAAGATGGTGGAACTCGGCCCATTCGTGTTGGCCGGCAACACTTGCAGCCGTGTGCGGGATGTGAATCTCATCCTGTTCTGGCTTATCGTCGCGCTCACTGGGCACGTTGATAAGCTGCAGAATCAGAGGGCGACGGGTGACAATGCCGCTGCCTCTTGGTAGAAAGTCCCGTCCGACAATGTTCTCGAGGACCGAGGATTTTCCAGAGGATTGGGAGCCAACAACAACCTAGTAAGGAGGTCCGGATTAGCCTAACCGGCATCTACGATGAGATTCGTCCCCAAGACTGCAAGGGCTCTGCCCAAAAGAACTCACAATTTGGGGCAAGTCGAGGGAATCATTTCCAATGGTGTTGAAGACCAGATCCTGGAGCTTGTTCACCGTCACAAGTAGATCCTCGCCCAGCGATGCCATGATGTTTGGGGGTGAACCGAAGCGGGCTCCTGAAATGAAGATGGCACACACACACGGGTTTCCGGGGAAGGATACGGGGGTTAAGACACAAGGAAGGGAAGAGACGCGCAAAGCCGAGTCGCGTGCAGAGTCACCGGATCCCTATGCACTACTTGGTTACGCTGTTTATGGGCACTTTTCTGTGCACGTGATGCTGACCTAATGGCTTAGGTCAGCCTCATGACGTCGATGATCGCAATCTTATCACACAGCTAACTATACGCAGTCCTGTACGGAGTATGCACCTGCTGGGATTTCTTATTTACTTTCTAGGTTAGGCGTAATTGCTATTGAACTATATACAAAGTGGAAAGGCTGAGTGTCTAAAGACTTGTATATTTGTATCTTCAATGCGAAACTTGATTTGGAATCTGCTACGAAGCTATCTATACTAGACAGATCAAGGATACACAGAGTCTCAAGTCGACGAATGGAGGTTCCAAGGGTTGCTCTTGCTCAAGATATGAAAATGAAATCCCGAAGCCAATCACTGGTCCAACTCGACATAGTTGGCTGGGAAGAGTCCTCGTGCACCATTGTATTCACCGAGCCACCAGTCATCATCGGGGAATTCCTGAGGCCTGGTTAGCATTGTATAGAGCCGAACCGAGAAAATCTGTTTAACTTACCACATTGGTGATTTTCACGCCTTCGGGAAAGCCAATCTCATTGTCTTCAGCGGCTTCGTAGTCGAACAAAGCGGTAGCAGTAGGCCCCTTGGAGCTCACATCAGCCGCTGGCGCAGGGGCAGCGGCGGGTGTGGGAGGAGCAGGGACGGCAGCAGCATGCTCCGGCTCCGGCACGTACTCATGAGCAGCAGGCGCATGAGTTTCATGCTTGTCGTCCTCCACAATCTCCACATAATTGCCCGGGAAGAGACCACGCTCGCCCTGAGCATTGACACCCACCCACCAGTCTTCGTCCACCATTTCAATGTCGGTTACAAACTCGCCCTCACGCAACTCAATCTCATTGTCTTCGGCCTTTTCATAGTCAAATTGGACTTGGGCGCGCAGTCCGCCCTGAGGTTGCTCTGGTGCAGTGGCTTCGGCCGCAGCACGGCCAAGATCGTGCGTATCTTCCTCTAGGTCCCGTTCGTCTGGAACAGCCTCTTGAAGGCTCTGAACGGGAAGAGCTTGGGGTGGAGAGTGCTGCTCCTCGTGGGCGTCGGCAACACCTTGACCCACCGGCATAGCAATCCGGATGGGGGAGCTCTCGCGGACTGGTGGGGTGGGAGGAGTTGGGGAGCGAGGCTGCTGCGGGGGCGTGGGGAGAACTTGCTGAGCGTCATGCTCGGGCTCAGGCTCGGGTCCAGACGGTAGGCCAGGTACAGGAACGGGGCGACTGGCCTGCGGGACCGGAGGAGCGGGTGGTGCGGGAGTATCATGGGCAAATTGACCGCGGATATCACTGATGCTAGGCTGGGATTCCTCCGCTTGATCAATGGCCCTTGCGTCAACGGGTGGCTCGGGGAGTTGGGATTTCTCGTGGGTGGTTTGAACAGGGGCCCATGACTTGCCAGCGTAGGAGCTTTTCCACTCGTTTTGACCACTGGCCTGATTCTGAATCGGAGTAGGCTCAGCGCTCCGAGATGGCGGAGTCTCTCCGCGCTCCTTGGCCTTACGTTCGGCCCAGATCTGAGCAGGCGTCTTTCCTCCTTCGTCGGCAAATGTTCGGCTTGCAACACCAATTGGGGCGCTCGCGCTCGGCTTAGTATCAAGGCCAGTCGGGAGGGGCGGCTTAGTTCCAGGGAAGGAAGGACCACTGCCAAACTTATTGGCAACCTTGGGCTTGGGTAGGTTTGTCAACCGTTCTGAAGCGTTGGATGGGGCAGGTCGCTCGGGCAGCGTTGTGGGGGGCTCATTGACAGCGGGGCTCGATGAAACACTGTCACCGGTTGTTGGCTTCTGTGCCTTGGATCGGATAGCAGCAATGTCCACTTTGCCAACCGGCTCATAAGACCCCTTAACAGGTGCCGGGCGCTCATCTTTGAGCTGGCCAGATTCGGCAGCCTGTCTCCGAATGGCAGCAATATCAACTTTGCCTATTGGCTGGTATCCACCCTTGACAACGCCAGCGTCGTCTGAGGTCGTGGCAGGAGCTTGGCGAGTCGCTGTGGGGTTTGCCTTGAGCTCTTGCAGGTTCACTCTGGTTGGCTGATAGGCTGACTGAACCTTTTCCAATTGAGTCCGGGTCACTGGAGGGGCATCTGCACCCCATCCATCATCGTCCACCGGTGCTCTTCTTGAGGCCGGCTGTGGGCGAGCGGGGTTGGGGGCGATTCCTCCAGATCTCGTCGGTGTGAAAGCAGGCTTGCTGGCCACAGGAGGTCGGGGGCCGGGGGTGGGGATAGAAGACTCCCCTGCGGAATACTTAGAGCCGGAGGAGTCTGCCACCCGCTGGACAATTCCCTCGGGGGTTAAGTCCCCATCTGCCCGGGCAGTAACCTGAACATGATATCCCTACCAACCAAATTAGTTTCGCATGAAGTACGTCATGGAAAAGTGACTCCTCACATGAAGGAACTTGGAAACCGCAGCCAGGTGGCTAGTGAAATAGCCCTTGGTTCGTTCAGGAACACCTTCTCCACACCATGCAACCAAGACGTTCTTGGGGAGACCTGTGTTTGGGTCTGTCACTTTCACATACGCGAACTGTACCCTTCCTTCCGAGAATTCCTCGATGAGATCGGCCAATTCACCCTCTGCCAGTATTAGATGTCAATGGGAGTAGCATACGATTGATGGGTTGCGAGATCACTGACCTCCGGAGCTCTGAACCTTGAGCACACTCTCCTTGCCTGCGTCCTGTTGAAAGGCACTGACCAGTGGAGTAGAAACCGAAAAGACAGCCCATTGGCCGTAGGTTGGCGAACCTGCTGTAGACGGAGGAGGTGCATTCACCACCGTCTGGTAGCTCTTGGATATCGAGGGACCGTTGGACGAGAGGTTGAGAGAAGCCATGACTGGGGGGAGAGACAAGATTGTGGACCACGTGGGAGAAGATCCTTCACTCGGTGTCAGTGAAGTGAAGAAGGAGAGGATAGGAGAGAGAGGAGAGGTGAGTTGACGTAGGTGGGGCCCATAACACTGACCGGATATTTGCGGGGAGAAGATAGAGTAGAGTAGAGGATAAATAGTCAAGGAGAGAGTAAAGAGAAGAGAATAAAGAGTCAGGAGTAGAGAGTAACTAATAGTTGTATGAGACAAATAGTAAAAAGAAGATTAATGTGGTCGCCTAAGTGGTGTATACGGTTTAGCCTGTCGATAACTAGCTACTACACATTAACTTATTGTAGATTTATAATATTATATCCTATATCCTATATTATATCTTATATCCTATACTATACTGTGCTATACTGTACTATACTGTACTATTTACTATACTATAATATGTACCTAGGTAATATCACCTGTCACATAGTCAATTTCTCGGATTTACTCACCGAAAGGTGGGGAGGGGAGCTCCCTAGAAAACTTTTGGATCTTTTGACCGTTGCGTTGCATCTTGGCCATATATGTCTCTGTGCCCAACTGATACAGTCATGGGATCTTCTGATTCCAGTCGGAATGTCAACGTGTCCGCCACTTCCTCAAATAATGTATCGGCTGCTTCGTCCCCAGGTCTTAAAGGCCCTGTGGATTCTCCGCTAGATCAGCCTACTGAGGAAATACTGCCTAGAGATCGTCAGCAAAAGACTGCTACCTACGACTATGCCTATGAGAAGTCCATGAGCCACGCCGAGGCTAAACTCTTCTACCAGCATCACCAGCTAGCCTCGCGCGGTGACAACCCCTTGCCCCCGAGCCCGGTCACTACAGCCCGGTCAAGGGCCGATTCGCATCCCCAGGAACCACCAATCCACCAGCTGGACTCGATGCAGAACCAGATCTCCCAGGAGGGTTCAATGGTCCTTGATTCGGATCCAACAACACTACACCTGCAGTCCCCTGGTGACCATGATTCCTCGGCGCACTACCTTGAGGACCAGGATATCGCCAATCATTCCGCCCGAAACCAGGCCGCGCATTTGGGTGCTGCTCATGGCCAGGACGCATACCTTTCAGCAGCGGAGAGTCTGCATAGCGCCAACGTGGGAATTGGGGCACCGCAGGTGCCCAGCGGGTTTGCGCCAGGCAATGATGCCGTGACTTCGGAGCTGAATGCCATTTATCGCAAGATCAAGAAGCTTCTTGATCGTCGGGCCCAATACATGGAGCTTTCGTTGCAGGGTCCCGGGATGGACCCGAGGGATCAACCAGACTGGGAGATCTACCCGCCACCCCCAGAGCCAGCATGGGATGATGGTAAAGAATATCAACCCGGTAATGTAGGTAGACCTTCCGATGTCCCGGGCAAGAAGAGGAAAATGGGTCAGGACATTGGAGAGGATTTCGACATGGAGGAAGTACTGCCTCTTCCCGAGGAATCATCGTGGACGTATAGACTGGATGGGAACAGCGTGTACCAGGTCTTTGAATCTGAAACCGCCGCTGTCGAGCAGAAGCCTATCGTCCAAATACCCTCGTTGCGCGATTTCTATATGGATCTCGATGCCATTGTGGACGTGTCGACAGATGGGCCTGCTAAGAGCTTTGCCTTTAAGCGGCTTTCATACTTGGAAGGCAAATTCCATCTTTACACGCTGCTCAACGAATACCAGGAGATCGCGGACAGCAAGAAGGTCCCTCACAGGGACTTTTACAACGTGCGTAAGGTGGATACTCACGTCCATCATTCTGCTTGCATGAATCAGAAGCATCTTCTTCGTTTCATCAAGAGCAAGATGAGAAAGTCTCCAGACGAAGTTGTTCTCTTCCGAGATGGAAAGCATCTGACCTTGAGGGAGGTTTTTGAAAGTATCAACTTAACTGCTTACGACCTCAGCATTGATACATTGGACATGCATGTCAGTATCTCTTCCTGTTCTACTGCTTGTCTGTTTCGTTTGCATTACTATCACTCTCACCCGCCTGGTGATCCTCGCTGACTGACCTTGTAGGCACACACTGACTCTTTCCATCGATTCGACAAATTCAATCTGAAATATAATCCGGTGGGCGAATCGCGTCTACGTGAAATATTCCTCAAGACCGACAACTACATCAAGGGCCGCTATCTGGCAGAAATTACCAAGGAGGTGATCTCAGATTTGGAATCTAGCAAATATCAGATGGTGGAATGGCGGATCTCAATCTACGGTCGATCCATTCAGGAATGGGACAAGCTTGCAGCCTGGGTGGTGGACAACAAGTTGTTCTCACCCAATGTCCGTTGGCTTATCCAAGTGCCTCGTCTGTATGACGTGTACAAGTCTAGTGGCATGATGGAGAACTATGAGCAGGTGATCACCAACGTCTTCCAGCCCTTGTTTGAAGTGACCAAGGACCCCTCGAGTCATCCAAAGCTTCATATCTTCCTCCAGCGCGTGGTAGGATTTGACAGTGTAGATGACGAAAGCAAGGCCGAGCGCCGGCTCTACAGGAAGTATCCTATTCCTCGAGAATGGAATACCAAGCAGAATCCGCCCTACACTTATTGGCTTTATTTCATGTTCGCCAACATCGCCTCCCTCAACAATTGGCGCAAGCGTCGTGGATTCAACACCTTTGTCCTTCGACCGCATTGCGGTGAGGCAGGCGACCCAGACCATTTGGCTGTCGGCTTCCTCTGCTGCCATAGTATCAGTCACGGTATTTTGCTCCGCAAAGTACCCCTTCTGCAATATCTCTACTATCTGGATCAAATTGGTATTGCCATGTCGCCGCTCAGTAACAACGCGCTGTTCCTCACATACGACAAGAATCCATGCGCTAGCTTCTTCAAACGAGGACTCAATGTGTCATTGTCCACCGATGATCCTTTGCAGTTTGCCTTCACGAAGGAACCCTTGATTGAGGAATATTCGGTCGCAGCACAGATCTACAAATTTAGCGCAGTTGACATGTGCGAACTCGCTAAACATTCAGTTCTCCAAAGTGGATTTGAGCTTTCACTGAGGGCAAGATGGCTTGGTTCAAACTGCTCATTGCCAGGAGTTGCTGGTAATAACGTTGCAAAGAGTAATGTTCCAGACATTCGTGAGGCGTTCCGACATGAGACTCTGCTTGGAGAATTGTCTTTGTGAGTGTTGCCTAAAGATGCTAGGGGCATCTAGGATTGGTGCTAACTGTCATCTCTTCAGGATTGAAAGTCACTCCGAAAGCACTGTATCCCTGGAACAGAAGGGTTTGGCTCTAGGCTTTATTCCAAATCAGCCCATGAACAAACCAGGAGGTACCATGTCTGCGAACAACGGTATGTTCTGTGATGTTCATGATATCAAGAAATAGTCAAGCTAACGGTGACTGCTTATCTAGCTCCTGCACCCAAGCCACGTTCCGAATCCCGTTCTAGTGTGGCTGGCACAGATATTTCACAGAGTGAGCTTCCAATTCAAATGGCAACCTCCCCTTCATCAACCCATTTGGCTCGATCTCCTAGCAGCGTTGCTCTTGGGAGTGTTGGTGGAGCAGATGGTTTACCTGAGCAGAAGATTTTCCCAGGCATCGTTCACGAGAGGGCTCGCAAAGGAAACATGCACCAATAGTTAGATTTTTTCGACCTTATTCTCGGACTACATAGAGTCGTTTTGGGTTCTCTGTAGGACCAATAGTGTCCAAGAGAAGAAAGAGTATTTTCAAAACTGCCAGGACCCCAGCTGAAACAATTTCAATATGCAACCATTTCCAATGCACGCTCTAAGTAGGATACAAATTAATTTAAGTCATCAAATGGCCCAACTGCCTTTCCTTTCCGGTAGTCCCCAGCCTTCCAGGTTGGTTTCATCTTCCACCATGCCAGGCTCTTGCCTGGCCCATTCCTGAATATACAAGCGCAATGCTTTCCATCGGGTGCACGCGCCGCTTATATCGTTATTGTCAGGGGCAACATACCCCCGGGCATCAGCGTGCAAGTCATCCTGACGGAGCTCTTCAACTGTGATGCCTGAGATTCGGCTGAGTTCGTCGTCGTAATAACGGGCAAGACAAGGATACCCTAACGAGAGGTAGTTAAAAATTTGGGTGACAAATCCATCATGGAATTCTGCGTCAATGGCTTTCTGGATGTTGGGACTGGCGGGCTTCCGACCAGAATTCCCAGGCGAGGCCGTCAGACGATCCAGGTGAATGTGCGAAGGAGATGGGCTGAGGCCCACGCCGACACCAGCTTCATCAATCTGAGCCATGGGGGTTACAATCCCTGGAAAGAGACCCGGAACCTCCTGCCCTTGCTTCTCGTCATTGCAACAAGTCCCCATCCACAAACCAGCGCCTTTTGCGCCCTGTCGATCAGGGGCCGCGCACCACAGCCCCTCATAGTTGTTACAAAGGCCCCGGCCGCCACTAAATGCAGTATCGATGTGAGAATGCTCACAGATGGTCCCCTCTGGTGACAAGCTTTGTGGTAGAACAATGTCATGGCCAAGCATCGGTGGACTATAGCCATTTTTCTTCTGGTTCTGAGATGACTCCCGTTTTCTGGATGTCATCATTGCCCGAAGCCTCATTTCAGCCTCCTCTTTATGGTGTCGCATGTATTCAAGTTCCCAGGACAGATCCGCTGAGGATTGTCGACGAGACTTGATATGATGATGCTCCATGTGAGAAGCCGGACCCTCCTCTTCTGAGTCTCCGTCGTCTTCATCTATAGCGAAATGATCAACGGGCTCATACACCTGCTCGTTAGGAAAGGCAGCTAGTGCTTGCTCCCTCAACTGCTTCTGTGCGGAGCGGGCGGCGAGTGAAAGCAAGAACTCTGAGAATTCCTCGCTGCAACTTTCACGGGGTAACTTGCTAGAGTGTAAATCTCTAGCCATTTTATTCGATGGCCCAAGGGGTGAGGTGCACGCCGAGTGAGATCTGGAGTTATCAGACTCTTCGCTGCTATTGGATGGAATCGATGGAAGGGCTGGAACTCGAAATGAGTGCCTGCGACCCTCTTGTCGGCGCAGCAGACTGGAATACGAGAACCGAGACTCGGGTGGTGAATAGGTAACGGCACGGTGGTCGGTATCTGACCAAGATGTCGTGCCCGGGCTGGTGCTCGCGTCGGCGAATGGACCCGATGTGTTGTGTCGTGGAAGAAACTGACTGTTTTCTCTTTTTCGGACTGAGCGTGTGTCGGTCTCTATGAGTTCAGGTTTAAACCTTCTCGGGGCCATGGTCTTATGTTGTGATGGGAGGTTCTCCCCAGTAATTTCGGAAGCTGTATGAGATCTTCTATTGCTTGATTTGATGGTTTCGGTTGGCTCGGGAGCAAATCTTCTTGGCCGATGGTCATTACGGCCGTGCAAAGGTGCTTCACCTGACAAAGTAGCATGAGGTTCTATTCCACTAGAAGCAGGCTGTTGGTTCTTAGAGCTTCGCGATAAGGTTTCGATTGGTTGGGCCAAGAACCTCCGAGGAGGCTTGGAGGTCTCACTCTGAGTTGCGTATCCAGGTAGTTGAGGTCCATTCAAAGAAGTCGGATGATCCGTATGGGAAGGGTATTGAGGTGATATAAGGTCTATAGATCTGCACTCTGATCCATCTTTGGGTGTGTCCACACCAGCTTTCTGGGCTTCTGGGTGGCCCATTGTCTGATATTTGCGACCCAACACGGCTCTCTATCATGCTTTGATATTAACGCATTTAATAGAGAACGCACATCGTTTGGGAGAAAAGGTTACCGCACTGAAGATAACAACAGTGGGTCGAAAAGGCGGTGTCGGAGAGGTAGGAAGAAGCGGTGACGATAATCCCAATATAGTCTAAGGGAGATCGAGGGGAGTCAAGAGGAGAAACGAATGGGGAAAGGTAGAGAACTGGTGAAGGCCAATGAATGCGAAGATAAAGGTGAATGTGAAAGCGTGTTGGGGGAGATCCAAGGGCGGTGGGGTTTGATGACATCAAACCCGATAAGATATCAAACTTCCCTTCTGCTTCTTCTTTCTTCTTCATCATGGCCGACAAGCGCAAATTCGACGACGATCACTCTGTGTCTAAAAGGAGAGTCATTGGGCCTTCACTTCCGGCCAGTACCAGTGACAGTGATAGTGACAGCGACGATGATTTCGGTCCAAGGTTACCTCCTCCTTCTGGCGCAACACCTATGCCAGTACCTGAGGCTCCCAAGGTAGTCGAGGCAAAAGAAAGTCAGCGCGATCAATGGATGCTACAGCCTCCTGCCCAATCCGACTGGGCTACCAAAATTGATCCCACACAACTACGGAATCGCAAATTCAATTCAAGCAAGTCAGCCACGGCTCCAAAGAAGATGGATGCTTCATGGGTGGAGACCCCGGAGGAACGAATGAAGCGGTTACAGGATGCAGTCATGGGCGTCAGTGCCTCAGGTCGGAATGAAAAACAGACCGCTGCCTCGGATACAAAATTGATGGAAGACAAAATCAAGAAGTACAGGGTGAGCTTGGCCTCTTTCAACCATATACTTCTCTCTAATCCTTTTCACTTAGGAAATGACTGGCAAAGGTAGTCGCCTAGAAAGCTCCGAGGATCAAAAGGAAGAAGACGATGATCCAAGTGCTCGGGCTTTTGACCGAGAGAAGGACATGGCAATATCTTCTAGGATATCGAATGCGCAGCGCCGGGAAATGGTGAAGAAGGCTGGAGATTACACATCACGTTTCTCTAAGGGTAATTTTCTATAGATTGAGGCGAATAAAGGACCTCAACTGAACTTCTAGGTGGCTTCAGAGTGAGTTGTAGGTTATACTGTATCGTAGACATGCGCTGGATCTTTTGTTCAATATATGGAGCTGATGACAGATAACTAGTATACGATATTATACCTATAGACGCTAACTGGTACTCCCTTCCTGCTTATTAGTAGATGATCTTCCACCCGGGACTCTCATGCCTTAGTCGCCTAGTATAGCGGATACACAACTCGATAAGCCCGTTATTGTATATATACTAGATATTATTAACATATCCCTCTAGAGGTCTCTAGGATCTATATAGGTTATAGGCTTCTATACCTCCGTGCTTCTAGTTTAGTGAGTATGTAGGTAATAGACACCTATAGTAATACTTTACTCACTATATTCTTCTTAGTATAATATATTTAAGACCTCTATATTAGTAATAAGAAGTATTCTACTTAGTATGAGAGTAAAGGTAAAGTCGGACTTAGTAGCCTAAAAATCTATAAGTATTATAGAAGGCCTACTAGCGATTACTGTACTAAAACACTTAATTTATTAATACGACTTCTGACGAATCCTAGTAAGTCCTAATTAATAATTCCTAACGCTATTGTTGAAGCCTTGACTACCCTAATTAGGTCCCTAAAAGGTATAATTAAAGTTAACGTATTTCCCTACCGAGCTGGCCACCCTGGAACAACATAGTATCACAACAACGGCAGGTTATAGGACTTTCCCTTAAAAACCAATTGTTTTTGGGTGGTATTTAGTCTCTAACAGGAGCTTAAAGGATTTCTATAACTTAATAATTGAGATACAATCAGATATTTATATTTCTAGCTCCTAGCAACATAATTTTCGATACCGTGACAATGTAGGTTTCAGATTTGGTCAAAATTAATATATAGTGTTGAAAAGCCTTATCAACAGCTATCGGCAAATAATTAAATAAAATAAAAACGTGGTTGTTGAGATATTAGTGTAGAATATATCGCATTTACTATTTACTATGGTGTTCTAGGGTGGCCAGCTCGGTAGGGAAATACGTTATAGTCTAGGCGTTAATAAAGTACCGCTGCTACTCTATATATCTACTATCTACTACTATATTAATATCTGTTACTTATAAATCTATAATATAGACATTTCCGAATTATTAAGACTATTAATAAATTGTATAATATTAGTTTATATGACGTATAATAGAGTCGGACTACTTAGGAATATCTTTTTAGGAGCTTATTAAATAGCCAAACTAAGGAAGGCGATAACGGTAGAGGTCTAGGATAATTAGATAATTATGGAATAGTTATACTAGCTTCCTAGCGTCTCTCCTATTCTCTTTCTAATTAAACATCTTCGTATAACGTATTTCACATGCGAGCCGCCACCACAAGCGAGCCGACATCTCCAAAAACAGTAAATGCGACAAATTATAGCTTCTTATTTCAACCACCACAACTTAATTTAATTTCCGCTTTCCGCTATTAGAAGATTGGTATTGCTAAGCATTTTTAGTAACATATAGCAATTTTAACGAAATCAAATTTGTACATTATTGGTCGTATTGAAAATTACGTCGCTGGGCTCCAAAAATATATATATGATAGTCAATAAATCACTAAGTTCCTTAAAACTGCCTAAACCAGCTAGATATCATATAAAAGCCATAGGATTAAAAGGAAAAATTAGTATAGACCACTGTTGTTGAGATATCAAGTTGTAATCTATCGCATCTACTATGTGTTTTAGAGATGACGGCTCGCTTGTGGTGGCGGCTCGCATGTGAAATACCTCAAATATACTTTTCTACTAATAATTTACCGCTTATAATATATTAAGATAGACTAAACACTAGCCCTTTTTATGACCAGTAGACTAAATATATAAAGTTATATACTCTAGTTTTTGGCTAAAAACCTATGTCCTTTATAACTATCCTAGCTAGTATAGTAGCCTCTTATCTAAAGTAGCTATCTAGCAGTTAGTTAGCTAAGTCGATTGCTATTACGTAGAGATCCTAATATAAAACCTCGATTTATCAAAGATTATATAGGATAATCCTGAATTTATTAAGATTTATTAAGAGTAACCCTAAATAGTTTACTAATAGGAGTAGTATATATTCGAAGCCCTACTTTATAATATAATATATTAACTTTAAAATCTAGTAAGTAATTGCTCTAATATTCGTTTATTATTTAACGATATAAAAACCCAATAAGTTCCTTCTTACTATATATTGAAATGGGGATGGCACGATGGCAGTCTGATGTAGCAGCCCGGTCGATATCGATGGAGACAGCACAACCAACTACTCCCATGTCCAGTACAGACGTAGAGAACAGTCCCTGTAGGTGGCTATCGCACTGTAAATGAAGCTATATCATTGAAAGAAGAATCTGGTGGAAAACTGTAGTCATATTGAGGTTGGTAGGATGATGCTATCTCTAATAAAAGACTGCATGCAAGCTTCCTAAGGCATTTGCGATACCTCAGGCCACTAATACGCCACTGTCACGGGTTCCAGCACTACAATATCTAATCTATATTTAATATATCCTAATTTTCTAATCTATATACTTTTTTAACCTTTAAGGGGGTATAAATATACGCTCTTTAATACCTTCCTTATAACGATATACTATTTACTACCTCTTACGCGTTAAAGTTAACAAATTTTAATCCTAGACCATAATAGCTATTAATTTGCTCTTCTAAGCTCTTTATAATATCTATATCTCCCTTCTCTTACACTGAATAATCCTGACTAGATTAATACCTTTATTTAATAATATAATATAATAAGTAAGGAATTTACAAATTATTAGCTTTAAATAGATTTTGGAAAGGTAAAACGTATTAACTAGGATATATGCTATTAGGTGCATTACTATGATAGTTTTAACTAAGTTACGAACGCTAGAGACGGTAAGGTAGGCGTAATATATAAGATTAGAAGATTCTTAGTTATCTTATAATAAGCTATATAAGCACTTTATCTATAAATAAATATATATATAAAGGGGGTAAGTTATAAGAGAAACGTGACGAATAAACTAAATATTAAGTATTTATTTAAGATAGCTATATATTACCTTCCCTCCCTTTATAATTATTAATAACGATTTTCTTGAGCATTAAAGGTACTAGCGCTTATTTATTATAAACTATTTAGGAGTAAAAGCTTTTAAATCCTATCATAGTATTATATCTTCTCTTTTTTATTTCTTAAATATTAGGAGTTTACGGATCTCATTAAATACGTATATCTTACGTTAATATACCTAAATATTTTGTTATAAAAGGTATTCGGGGGCGGCTAAAGGCCTCTATTATAGAATAATAAGAAAGATTTCTATAACTTACCTTAAAAAAAGTTTAATTTATTTTAGACTATTAGATATTACCGTTATAGTAGTCGTTTATGGTAGTAATATATTACTTTTTAAATAAAGATTAGGAGTATTATAAAGTCCTTAGCTTTAAGCTACTAATTAGTGTATATTCTAGCTTAAATATTAGTAAGATTATTACTTAGCCTATATAAAGATATAATATTATTAGTAAAGTACTTATAATTACTACTAATAACGCCTTAAATAATACCATACTTGTTTAAGCTATAAATAAGTAAGAACTATTTAGTGAAATATTAAGACTACTATTATTCATATATCTTATATTACTTATATTATTTAGATAAGTCTTATAGATTTATTTAGGAAGATAAAGGTATCTTTAAATAATAACAGTATTAAGCTAAGATAGTCTTACATATAGGCGTTTCGCGTATATTAAAAATATAAGATTATAGATATACTAAATAAGGGTTTTATTTTAATCTGTATTATTATCTTCTTATCTTATTCCTATGTTTACAACCTTACTTCTATTAACATAAATTTATAATAATAAGATTCGTTCTA